TGATGCGATTTCTTGAACTACATTAAACATAACTAAAATTTGCATTTTGTCTTTAATAGTTATACAGGTTAGGTAAGTACTTAGGTGTCATACTTATATTGTTATTATTCGAATTAATTGCAGATTTTACATTCCTATGTTATTGCTGTGTATATATCTTATGATTTGTATACTCTACACGATTTTTTTTTGTTTTGTATTGTTCTCTATTGTATGTCTTTAGGTATCTTTAAAGAAGTTTAAATGTAATGCTGCAGAAGAACGTTCAGAATAGGTTGAATCAAAGGAATAAAAAAGTACTAAAAATAGAGTATAATATTTTGGGAGAGAAAAACACTATGACAAGTTTGATATTAATACAAAATGGATTGTCACACTTATACAGGATGATTAACTCAACTGGAAATACTAATTAACTCGGAAACTATTACTTTTTTCGGCATTTTTTATTCGAAGCAAAAAGAAGCAAAAAGTTTTAAAATGTTATATTATCATTTATTTTGTCACGCTTATTTTTAAGTTGAAATGACTACATAATTTTGGTTTTCAAATGACAACATATGTTGAAAATTAACGAAGTACTAGTTAAAATTTATTTTGGTGTTCAGATTTTTAATTTCCGTCAACCCGTTGACGAGATATTCCATAGTTTAGGTGAAAGCATTGGTGGAACATTAACCTAGTGGAGAATTAAGTTTTTAAAATAGACTTATACTAAAAAAGCTTATATTTTCCAAGGTAATGAGTGTTTTATGTTGAATAAATTCCCATGCATATTTAGACATATAAATTGTTGACATTCATTATAGCGGGAAGCGTGTATGGAAAATCGTACATAGGAAGACTTAGACTTAAATATTGTTATAAGGCGGTTCACGAAAAATAAAATACATGATACAATAAGTATTAAAAAATGGATATACTTCGCATGTTGTAAATGGGGCATTGAGAAGGTAGGATACAGAAAGGATTTTAATGTATATCAGTAAGCAACAATAAATCATTGCTAACGAATTCTGAGCAAAGTTAATTTGATAGTGTTGCTTTGATAACAATATATATTTTATTATGGTAAAATAACTATATAATGCATTATACATTTTCTTGAATAATATTTATTTAATATTGTACCTATTTCCCCGTCCTCACAGTTTTCTCATGTTTTTCCAATGCATTTGGAAAACTTCTGGGAAAGTAAACAATTTACCTTTTTAAAGTACTTCCTCAGTCAGATTTCCTTTTAGAAAAATTGAAAAATTTACATTTATAAATCGGAACAATATTTGTGGTAGAAAATTTGTTCACAGATAAGAAAAATAAAATAAAATTATTGTACAGCCATAAGCTGTTTCGTTCGATTCAGAAGCTAAAATGAATTACAGAAACGGACAAGGTAAATTTGAAAATTAAGTTGACCCTTGATAATAAGAGGGAGATGGATAGAAAGAGCGACATGTTGATAATATGTATGATGTATGTATGATGTGTCAGAATGTGTTATTGGTGGAGCGAAAATTATAAATAGAAACTACTACTACCCCTACTAGTTTGATATTATAACCTTCAAAGATTATCGTAAATCGAACTATTATATTTGAACATAAAATAATATATATTTGTATTTATTATTCTGTTACTATTGTTTTATTCCCAAATATTAATTATCATCTTTAATATCAGCTGTAAGCATGTCTATAAAATTAATTTTATAATAATTTATGAAAATATTTGAGAAAAATTTCGAAGCTTTTGAATTTTTGGATTATGTTGGTCAAAAATTTAAACCGTAATAAATATTATGTAACGTGATCATTATAATTTGTATAACATATAAAATATATTAATCTAATATATATGTCCGTTATTTATATTTACTAACAATACATAATACATTATATATCAATATGTACTTCGTTATTGATTCAAAAATAAGTGGTTTTTCTAGGTTTATTATTATTTTTTTTTTTTATGATATATTCATTTATTTTTATTATACCGACCCACTACATTATTCGAATATAACCTGTTCATAATATCAGATTTACAAAAAAATGTTCTAACTAGATAGTTTTTAGGTTTCTAAAATTAAGTTTAATACACCTTATATGCATAGTTACATCCCTAAATTATATATACGAGTAAACAGGTTAATACTGTTTATGGGTGTGCAATTGATTTAGAAGGAAATTAGGAGGGAGGCTATATAAAGTATTTTAACTTATATCTGAGCTCAAAGATAAACTACCGCTAACGGGAAAAAGATTTTATGTATAGTGTGGTATATCAGTATTATTATTAAATTTATATTGTGTGAATTTAAAATGTATTCCTTATAAAAAACAAGTTTTAAAACAATAGAAAAAATGTACAAGTATTATCACTGAATTTAAGTGCATTTTGTTCGTTTACGGTTTAAAACCCGACGGTATTATCTAGATTATAAACTCGACTTCGATGATAATAATAATAATAATAATAATAATAATAATATATCATCGTTTGCACCAACAATGTAGTCCTACATTATAATTACTGCAGGTTCGTTTATCGCAATCGTATAGTCGTTTCGTCAATCGCCATTAAATTTTAATGGTATCATTTAGTAGGTATACTATGTTTATACGACGCGAATTAATGGCATTACAATATAAGCAATTATTCACATTTCGGTGTGATATTAGTAATTCAGTACCTAGCAATTCGTATAGTATTATTAATAAAACTTATTATTTTTGTGAACATTTAGTGAAAAAAACACATATTACCGAAAGTTCCATTCTGCTAGATATAGGATTTCTCTATGACAGACATATTTTGAATTTAAAAATCGTGTAAATAATTGTGTAATATGTACCCAAGGTAAACAAAACAAATCAATATTTTATTTGTAAGCATATAATTGAATCTATCTCGAATTGTTATGGAAATCGAACAATTATAGGTACTTAGACATTAGTAATTACTAAAGAACGATTATACTTAAGTACTTAAAATCTGAAAAAAAGTGTTTAAAATCATCAAAAAGGTCAGAATAATAAAATAATTTAAGAATATTAATAAAAGCAAAAGTGGTAGAGTAGTTTAAAAGTCCCCCTCCAATGGTTAAAACCCTATTAAATAAATTTGTCTACCACTAAAAAATGAATTAACACAAAATATTTGTTTTTATATATATAATACGTAAAACCTTTGAAATAAAATTACTGTGTTAATCATTTTCGTGGTTTTAGAAAATTATTCTAAATAAATCGAAACTATTTGAGGGGAAGGGGCACTTTAAACCCTCCATATTTTTTATTTTTTTTATATTTTTAGACGTTTTTTTTTTAGAATTTTAAGCACATATAAATCCGTTCCCTAATAATTCTTAACAATATTATTAGTTTGATTACTATTTATAGGCACTAATCTAATGTCATTCATAATATTATACAGAATGTCTTACAATAGTGTCCGAATGCCAATAACACTGTTAATTTTCATTTTTTTTTAAGTGATGTGAGGAATGTATTGGTTTTTAAGTTTAGGTTTAAAAGATGATTTTTATTTTTTTATTTTTATTTGAACACTTTTTCTACCAGGAAGCTTACCCTGATTATCAAGTATATAGCACCTTTTAAGAAAGGAAATGTTTTCTAGGTAGTACATTAAAGAGGTATTTTTTTGAAATTCTAATTAATATTTGAGAAAATGTGAGAAAAGCCTGGTGCTTTGAATTAAAAAATATTGAAAAATTAAAACTAAGGTGGTCATTGGAAACTGTTTTTATTTATTTTTTGGTTTATTAAGTTTTCATTATTTCATTTTTTTTTTAAACAATCATTGTTTTCATGGAAACGCACATTGTTGTAATCATATTACCATAATATGACATATATATTATTGAGAAGGCAACACTAACAACGAAACTCCGCTTGGAAACGTTTATTTGTCAGCAATGGTTTATCGTTGCTTACAGATATACATTAAAGTCCCGTATCGTAGATTCCTAACTTCCCACCTACAACAGTGGCTGTGTACACGAGCGAAATTTGTCCATTTTTTTAAAGTTGTTTTTTTCAATCGGTTTTTGTGTAGAGGGTACACAAATGTAGAAACAAATTTAATTTGTATTTTAATCCTTTAATCACTGGACAATAATATCTTCAAAATTTTCAAAATTGCCAATATGTAAAAAAATAATTCTAAAAATTTGTGTTACGACTTCGATTGGCTATCGCGTAATGTAGTATTCTCTTTTATCACACCTAGATTAAAACGGCTCACGGCTATGTTATCAGTAATAAATAGAAATAGTAAATAGGAGAAATTTGACCTCAAAGAGTGGGGAGTTATATCTCTTTCATTTTCCCGCCTATAAGATTCTTAGCCAATGGCAAAAAAAAAAAAAGTAATTGAGAGGTGGTTAAAATGATCTCCTGGGCTATGCCACTGGTTACACTGTCAATAACCAAACCATTTTTCGTTGATAATTATCCAGTTGGTGCGACTCTTTGTCCTTCGTGGCGTTTATCGTTCAGTTTTCGTTATATAGTAGATTTTTTTTTTTCGGCCGAAGTTCGGGTTAATTCGTTTTGATTGCGGCGAGTAAGAGCTGACTACGTGGAAATACTAAAGTTTTATCATGGGATAATTGTTTATCGAAAATAACGGCGGTAGCGACATAGTCGGTCGGTCAAAGGTAGATAAGTACTATGTAAATTATTAATTCCAAGAGAAATAGCCGCCAGTCCTCGGTGTTAACGTTTTAAAGGCAGTTCCTAAATTCCTTCCCAGGGGTAGAGCAACTACTTCTGACGTAGTAACTATTAACATAAAAGTTACATTTTGTTTACATTTTTTCCAGTCTTAGAACTGGCAGCTCTATTAGAATGTTTAAACATTTGTTTTTTCTTAACAGGCTTATAAATCCGTGTAGGTCAGGTACTAATACTTATCTAATTTTTTTTAAATATTTTTAAAGAGCAACTTAACAAAATACTATTGTAAACAAGTATAATAATTTAATACTTATTATATATCAGGGACAGGAGTTCAGACCTAGATGATCCATCCGAGACGGAATTCGGATATTCGTTTTTGCTCTTGAGAAGGTTCTGGTCGGAATTCCATACCACCTGTTATAAGCTATAGGTGTTGCCACGGCGGACACAATATTATATTATAAATTTAAAATTACCCGTACACATGCCTATCGTTAAAATTAATAAACTTTCTTCAACTACAATAAAGGTGATTATTATAAAGCACATATATTTTTTATTCATTTGATTGGTCAAATACTTTAAATACTCGAGATCTTATTGCCAAAGCAGCAGCTTTTTAATTTCAAGAAGTAATTTTAGAAGCTTTAACCATATCTATTTGTCACCATAGTATCTCCTATTAACACTCATAATTTCTCTCATTGAATTGACAATTAAGTTCTTCGAATTTTAGAGATTTGCAATCATTTAAACTCCTTTATTGCGCTTTAGTTAGATTTGTTTTAGAATATTGACCGATTATTTGGAGTCCGTATTCAAAATAAGATAATGATTTAATTGAGTACGTCCAAAACTATTTTTTGAGATATATTGCGTTTAAGTTCAATATTTAACTAAAATTATAGTTATGTTGCAAGTCGGACCCTTTTTTAATATTTTAACTCTTGCTTCTAGACGTGATCTAGTGGATATATATTTTTTTAATATATGAATAAATGGTAAAATTTATATTTCCAATTTATTTATAAGTATCCCTTTTAACATCCCTGCAACTTACAATAACCACTCAACCTCTTTGTTGTATATCCCTGCAATACACAGAACATTTTTTTTTGAAATATTTCTTTATTCTAAGGGCTATAATTCAATATCATAAACTTCCAATAAATGCGGATTTTTTTCTTTTCAACTCTAGCGATAATATTGTACTTATTATCACTTAAGTATTGATATGTAATACTGAGTAACACAAAACTTTTTCATTTAATTTTAGTTTAGTTTAATTATCTTTTAATATATTTTAACATACATAATTCTTTTTTTATACTGTGTTCAAAAATTCAACCAGACATGTTGCTTCAAAGTATCAATCATAGAGCACTATTTCTGAAAGTTTAATGGAGTGGTACTTGAAAGGGTTCATTATTTGATTTTCCCTCCTAATAAATATGAAAAAAAGGGAAAAAATGGAGGAATAACGAAAAAATGTACGAAATATAGATATAAGTAAAAAATATTACGATCAGAATCGTTTTTCAGTTAGCAATGTAAAGATATACATTACATTTCCCCTCTACCTTCCCAATTTCTCACCTATAACAGTAGCTGTATCCACGTGTGAAGTATGTCCTTTTTTGTTATATTTATATTTCAAGAACAAGATTAGCATTTTCTACATCTTCGAAAATATTTAATATTATTTTTCTTGCAATCGTTTATAATTATCTAATTTAGTTTGATATATTTTTAAATAATTATCTACAATGCGTTTTCCTCAATTATTTATGTTTGCATAATATTCAGATAAAATATTAGTTAATGTGATAAATGGTCAGTTGATTAGTAACCATGCAATTTTCGAGGCATAAGTGCTAAAATTGTTGCGATACTTTGATTTCTAAAATATATTTTAAAATACTGATTTAATTTCGTGTTCAATATATTTTATTTATACGAATAATTCTAATGTTATCCAAACCCTATTAAAAACAGTTTTCCAGTAGCGTTATTTAAAACTACAAATACTCTATAGTAGTCATGTATCGCAGTAAATCCACATCCCTATTTCGTCTACATGTGATATTATCTTAGTATTATATAAAGTTATTATTAACAACTACAACGCATATTATTATTATACTAATTGGGTACCCAAATCAAATCAAGTTCTAATTGGGATCCGGATTATAAACTATATATATTGTACATAATGAATAATGATAAGCCGCTGGTTATCCGATATAGCTTTATATTCGGGTTTATACAATACGAGTTTTCTATACCTAAAAAGAAAAAAAAACCTAATCATAATCCTTTTCACTTTAATGCATCCGAGAGTTATTCATTAGTGTATATGATAATATAATTTTCGAAAATGTTGGTACGTCACATAAATCTATCGTATTATTTGGCTGAAAAAAAAAACTGTTATTGTGCTGATTAGTATGGCACTGTTTTAAGACGGAAGTAGGAAGAGAAGAGTAATTTAATTCATATCAATACGCAACAATAAACGACTGCTAACGAAAACTAATTATGAGCACAGTATTATAAGTTGTATATTTTATTTTCCTTGTTGCTCATATAACGTAGTAATCATCAACAATTACACAAAAAATTGCAATTTATTCTTATTAATAAAGAAATCTACAAAAAATAGTGTGCTCAACTTTTCAACTAAATTGAACATTCTAAAAGAAAGTTATCTTAGACATGTTTTGTTAGGAGCAGGATTTCTGGTGGAAAATTTGTTTACCGACATGAAAATAAAAATAAATCGCATTCTCCCAACGCTCAGAATCTAAAAAATTATAAAAATGTATCCTAATGCAACAAAAAAAAAAAAACCCGTATAATTATATAAATTATATAAAACCAATCGATTTTCTGACGATATACAGAATAATATTATGCTTGCAGTATTTTATTTTACTCGTATTTATTTATTTTTGAGGTTCACTGCGTATTTATCAAAAACCGTAACATAATAAAATAATACGTGGGATTTATTTCCGGATTAAATGGGGTGGATAAACAGTGACAACGTACTGACATGCATACAGAATACTATCATTTTTATTAATTATCGAAATTACCTGCGTTGTAATTTGTTATTTTTTCGCACATTAAGTGCTGGTTAGGTTATGTTCCACCCCCACATTTAAAACGTTATGCTTATGATAATAATTGGGATGCAATACGATTAAACGTAGTTTACCTTTTTGGGTATATGATCGTGCGTGGATTCGAAATAACGAAAAAACATGATTTCGAATCTTCAAAGGTGTATGACTGCACGTGACATTGAAAGCAACGTTGTCAAGTTTTATTGTACGTTAATATTGTAACTCAATTTTAAATATTCAATGTCGTCCACATCAAATCGATTATCATACTTTTCCATTGAGATATATAAATATGCACTTACGTATTATTATGTACTTTCGCCAAAAAATGGAAAAGAAAAAAAAAGCCAATTAAGTTAAAATTATCAGCTTATTTCCACTTAATCAAACAATTTTAAAAAATGGAATATTTAATTTGGCCTAACTTTAACTATTGTGTTTTTATAAAGTATATTTTAGTGAATAGGTATATTAAATAAATCATTTTAATTAAGTTCATTGAGAGTTATGCTATAAATTATAAATCATAAACATATTAATTTACAAAAATAAAAATATAATAATGTAACTAAAATAAAGGAATATATACAATAGGGATATAATGATTTTAGAATTAGTTTTGTTGAATAAATTATTATTTTGGGTTCTGAAATAAAAATATATTATCTAAATATAAGTAAAACAACTTAAAAGAAGTCATCCTAGGATAATAGGGACGGCTGCTGCCACTGTTTTAGATAATTTAATTTATACCTGTAAGCAATGATAAACAATTTATTACGAAAAAACGATTCTGAACGGAGTTTGTAGAAAATGAAAAATGCTGACGATAAATTATGATAGGTACATAGGTAACATTGGATTCCTGGATTACCTTGAATACACAAATAATTCTATAACTAACTTTACCGGTTTACTGAGCTCCATCCAAAACCATTTTTTGATATCAATGATTTATCGTTATTTGTAGTATAAAAAAAAAACTAATATACTTACTAGACCAACAAGCTATGGCTAAGATTCTATAAACGACAATAAACACCATTTACAACTGGACGAAACGATGGAAAAGAAAAAGTAATGGAGATAAGTCGATACACGTTAACTACGCCTTATATAAAACCACACACATCCTAGTCACGCTAAATCAGCAGATAATCCCGCAGAACGATTCAGCGAAATATCTGAGAATGCATCTTGACTCACGACTTAACTAGAAATATCATGTACACCAGAAAAAGTTGCAAATCAAAAAAAAAAAAAAAAACACACAAACTTTACTGGGTAGTTGGACGAAATTTCGAGCTAGACCTAACCAGCAAACGTCTCTAGTATGTATCGTTTGTTAAACCGATTTGGATTTTTGGTATTCAACTGTGGGGGTTTGCCAGTAAGTCCAATTTCGAAATAACACAACGATGCCAGAGCATCGCTCTTCGTACCATTGTCGCAGCATATCGGTATGATAAGAACGAAATCATCCATCGCGATTTGAAAATGTCATCCATGCTGAATGAAATTACCCGGTTTGCTCACTAACATGCAAGAAGACTGAAGCTTCGCACAAATACGGCTGCCATACAATTCTGCGACAACTGGCAGGACATCAGACAACTCAAACGACTGAAGCCATTTGACTTAGTCTAATTATTAGATTAAGAGTGGGGCTGCTTCACCTGAAGTAAAACCCCAAACAAGTTTTGTATGTCTATATATTGCATTGTATGTATTAATACTTCTATTGATTTGTATTTATAAAGATTCATTTATTGTTTAAATAAAAAAATACCTTAGGCAATTTAGGAAAAAAAAATATATACTAATAGCCCCAAAATATTCTGGTCTTTATTTTTTTCATAAATGTTTGTCTTTTATGATTTAAAAAAAAATCAACTTCCCCTCCCCGTTTCTTTGCCCTAGATATATCCCTAGGCTTAATCATAATACGAAATATGTCCAGCTTTTTCACTTTTAAACCATTACGATGGAAATAACTATGTATACATTTTTTATTTAAACATCTTATCTTAATTTATTTGTTTGCAATTTCAAATGCGTAGTGCTGAATTCGTACATAATACTATTTTAATTTTTATACGTTTTTTTGCATATTTGTCTATATACATAAGGTTGCCATTTTAAAATCAAAATTAGATAGTGGTTTTACCCCCAAAAATAATGGTAACAAAAAATAACATAAATATAAAATTGTAGAGTAGCTTGTTTCTTAAATGTTCTAGAAACTAATTACGGAAAAAGTTAAAACTTTCCGAGATAATGAGTGTACCCACTTAAATGAATCACCTGGTATGTTAATGTTTACGTTTTTCGTAGTAAGAGTATTAATTTGAACAATTTACATTTATATATATATACGC